ACCCCCCCCCCCCCCCACCCACCAAAAACTAATAATCATTAAAAATAAGATTTTAAAAAACTAAAAAGAAACAAACAAACAAAATCTGGAAAAGTACTTTTTTCAGCATGTCTAATAAAAAGAGGCAAAACATGATTGTGTTCCTTGATTCTTACATTAGATTCTTTTTTAAATTGAGTCAAAACCGATTAAGTTGTCAAAAGTCCGATAAGGTTACAGATATCCATATGGGGAAGCAAAAGAGCCCTCAGAGTCGTTCTTTGATCCATTTCGTGAAGAAAGAAACTCGCGTGTAGACGGAGGGAAGCTCCCCGGTACAGCCAGTAGCTCCCCACGAAACGATGCCAGCGAGTCTACCATTACATACCAAGGGACCACCGCTGTCGCCCTGTGAAATTAACAAAAGTAGGGAGGATGAAGGATTAGGCTTTATTTAAGATTATGCTGAAAATTATAGTATGGCATAGTGGAGTACGTTTTTGAGTTCCATTTAAATAAAATAGGCTAAAGCAGCTTCTTGCCTCAGGTTCATGTCTCAAACTCATAGCCTGTAGGCCAATGGAGGCCCCTACTTGGCATCAAAGGTACGTGTTAGTGTGATCTAAATGTGGCTAAATAAGAGGAAGCGTTGCAGGGCTCTGGCAATTCGGAGTAGGTAAGGTAAGCCAATCCTTAAGATTTGTTCAAGTTCTGAACCACTATAAATAAAGATTGAGAAGATGAGGTCAATTGCCCTTTCCAAAAAACAAACAAACACCAAACAAACAAACAAACAAACAAACAAAATACTCGATATTTATGTCTAATGCAGTCTAAGCTCACACAGACTCTACCTTAAGCAGACCCGTGTTTTCGAGTTTGAGATCTTTGCTCTACGACATCGGACAAAGGTAATCATTAGTACAAAAGAGTACCGGTAATAATACATTTTCAAAGCTAGTTGAACTCATAAATATGAATAAAAATGCAATGTTTTAAATTATTCTTCACCTTTTCCAAAAAAACAAAACAAAACAAAACAACAACTGTAATAGTATTTTATGTAAATATATCTTAAACTTACATTACAAGACGAGATTCCTTCATTAAGGGTACAGACGTGCATGGGAATGACATACAAACGGTTCGTAGACTGGAACCACTGATATCCACAGTTGTAGATGGAAGTCACACGAAAAGGCGTCTTCTGCAATTCAGATGGTGTGGATCCTGAAAAAAGCAAGACAATGGTAATCACTGAAAAAAAGATAGATAGACCTCATTTAACATACAAGAGTTTTGACATTAGTTTTAGTTAATACAATAATCAAAATGAATGTGTGTGTGGACACCCAGAAAGCTGTACTTTACTTGTGCTATTAACAATATGTGAATATGTGTATGTCATATACATGAATTTAGATATGAAGGTGATTGATTAAAAGGAGCTTGAGATTGCCTTAGGATTAGGAGGGGGGGGGGGTTGAAATACTTTCCTCCAACAACATTCTTGCTCTTCCTGCTTCTCTCGAGAATGAAAAAAATATAATAATGAATAAAAGTAAGGATACAAACAAAGCTGTAAGCACGAGACGAGTTCAGAGCGGCGACGAGAACCGGTACATTAGAAGATTACAGGGGAAAACTGCCAACGTCCCAACGATAGCTCTCTTCTACAAATCCCCACTGTGCAATACAGTGAAGACATGAAAGGATTAGAACAGTCTAAAGTAACCATTAAAAGAAAATCTCAGCAGTAGAAAAAAAAATTCTTGGAATTCTACACACGAAAGAAGCAGAAGTCGACGTCTCTGAATCTAAATGTTAAGGTAGAAGGAAAATCTGACAACAGCAAATTTTCTCATGTAGTCTTCAAATATCAATAGTATTGACTGACTTATTTGTTTCGTTAGCAAGGTCTTGTCTGAGAATATGTATTTTCTGAAAACTACGCATTCTTTTGGAATGCTACTTCTTGGGTACCTTATAAAAACAACAGCAACAAATAAATACGCCTTACTCCCTATTCAAATCACTTCCGATCATTATCACATGTTCGGACTATATTGCACATTTTTGGATGTATGAGTCGGTTCCAGCTCCATTGTTTGCCATAATCTTTCACACACACTGGTTTTTCAGTAATCCCAGAAATATTTCATTTGTATATTGTCCTCAAAACTTCCATAATAAGGACTATACACCCTGCCTTCAAGCTGATGCTATCTGTCCAGCAGAACATGGCGTCAAATAAATCTTGCTTCAACCAAACAAAATACTGACAAAAGCGACAAGTTATTAACGTGAATAAATGAATGTGTAATTATTGAAAGAAGGTGGGAACGTTTTTTTTGGTCCAGAATAGCAATATGCAGCCTTTTGATTGGTTTACAGAGCAGCAACAGTAATGTGCTAAAATTTCTAAGAGAGCACAAAGGTGTGCACAATAAGAGACGCTGAGACTGTGGAATTAACAGCAAGACATGGAAAGATATAAGTGTAGAAATATTTGAGAGTTGAGACACGGAACACACGCAGGCCAAAGTAAAAAGAGAATGCAGGTGGGGATAATCTGGGTTGCTTTATTATGGGTTTTGGGGCCTAAATGACTGTTAGTATAGTTTGAAAGGCGAAAAGCATCTCGTAACTAAACTGCGAATTATTTGAAAAATTCCAAACGTCTTTATACTCTCACTCTACCGATTTTTCCTCATCCCCCCCCCCCCCGGTCTCTCTCGCGTTCTCTCTCTCTTTCTGTCTCTCTGTCTTTTTGTCCTTGTCTCTTTATCCCTCCCTCACGACTACCCCCCCCCCCACGCACACACTCACTCACACACAAACATATATGCAGTAAAGACAGTCAGCCACACTCACAGAAATTGCACAGGCTTCTGACCCCATACAGCACAATGATCCCGTCCACTCTTTCGTAATTCCAGATTTTTCCACTTTCATCAACACCAAAACCCCGATTGATCGTTTTCCAGGAGATTTAATGATTGATTGATACTAGCACAGTACCACGACAAGCGGGACTTAAAATGAAAGTCCTGTTTCAAATAAAGAACCTGTATTTAGACGATCCTTAAACAGATATCATTTTGACCAAGAACAGAAAATCGACTTACCGCCGCCTTCTAAAAGCCCCCAGCCTGAAAGTTTGCATACACCTGTCCACCTGGCGTCCGTCCAGAAGGCAGTATTGATCAACTCTACTTTCGGGGACGTCAGATCCGCGTTTTCAGCCAGTGTGAGCATAGCGATATCGTAGAAATGATAGTCGACATAGTCCTCGTGCTGTTGGGAATAATTATTTATTGAGAAAATAAGTATTAATTGGAGGAAGGAGCGGTGAGGTGACTTTATGGACCTCTGGAGGTACAATGTGGCATGTTGACTATTCTGTCAACATCATATACACGAAAACATGTAACCCTCCGTGGCTACAGAGTATAGCCCGATTGTGGACAACTCCCTCTCTGCTGTGATGCAATAATACACCTCATCCACTCTCTGGAAGTTTATTGTGGAGAATATCTATGTCTTTCTTCTTTAATGTTCAACTGCATTCTGGTCGGTTGGCCCTGGCAGGAAAGATCGAAGCAACCTACAGAACACAATAAGCTGTTTTGTGGTGTTTGTGTAGTGGGCGGGGGGGGGGGGGGTACCATTACAAGATGCTGGGGGAGGGGGGAACGAAGTAAAACGGGAAATTGGAAAGGCAGTGATGCGAAATGAAGGGTTACAGGCCCGCCCCTAAACAGGACAGGCATTATGTTAATTCAGCCTCTATTTCTCTATTTTCAAACATGTGTAGTGGAATATGAGAATATATTCTCATTTGAGATAAGTATATACTCCATATTATCTCTTACTCTCTAACAATATAAAAAATATATCACCTTTTTGTCTCTTCGGTATCTCCCCCCTCTCTCTCCCTCACTTTGTTTCCCTGTTTAATATTCACTCTCTATTCATCTCTATTCCTCTCTCTCTTTCTCCCCCCCCCCCCCATTTCTCCCTCTCTTTCTCTGTGTGTGTTCATGTATGTGTGTGCATGTGTGTATGTGTGTGTGTGTGTGTGTGTGTGTGTGTGTGTATGTGTGCGCGCGTGTGTGCGTGCGTTGTGTGTGTGTGTGTGTGTGTGTGTGTGTGTGTGTGTGTGTGTGTGTGTCTGATGGTGTTTGAGTGTGCTCTGAAGAACTGAACATAAAGTGGCAAACTCACTTTTTCATGTAATTTATACAAAGATCAGTAATCTCGCAATATTTGAGCAGTTGTTTGATTTTCGTCATTGCTCAAAATACTAGTTACTAGCTATTTACTTACTTACCATTTCTACCCTGCTGACACTAATGAGCTGGGCGTCTGGATTTGATCCCACGCCGGCCAAAGAGCTGATACCCAATACGACATAATATGATCGCCTGGGGAAATACACATTTTGTGTTAAAACAAATAGACAACCTTGGTTTGATTCAACAAAACTAAACTGATACCCCCCCCCCCCTTCCTCATTTCAACCCCCACCTCAATCTTGCCCATAATAGTTTATATCATTATTATGCAGTGGAAACTACTGTTCGACAGATGCCAAAAGATTAATTGTCAAAATATAAACTTTGTGTTTTCGCCAGAAAAAGCAAACAACTTTTAGTTTATAGGGTATTTTTGCCCTAACTGTTAACTTACAGAAGGTAAAAAGAGGAACTTCATTACTTGTGTTATTTCTGACGGACAGTCAATGCTAATACATGTACAAGTTTAGATTGAAAACTCGAGGCACTTTACATGGTCTAAGATGATTTCTGGGGTGAAATTCGTTTATTTTTTGTACCATTTATTGATCAAAACTTTTTTTTGTGTGTATCTCCTCTATGACAAGCTGTAAAATATATTTTGCTATGCAACGACACAATCGGTTGGATGATTTTTTTATCCTTTGCACAAATAAGTACGAGTGCTTCGCTCACAAAATAGGCGAAGAAACAATTTCCGTTAATGCTGAGAGCTTTGTGTTTTTGCACAGATACGTAATGAAAGACAAATGAAAGGTGAAAAACATCGAGAGTACGGTATGCACTTGTTAACCGACAATCTCCTGTTTTTACATAATGTGTATAGTGATGACAGCAACTCTCGTCTTTTATATCTTAGTTGATGTCTACTGATCATGGCTCGGTTCGATTTCCCCAGATCAACATTGTTCTTTCATTCCCAAAGTCAAATTTGATTAAGATCAATATTCCTTCAACAATGGAGTGTACTCGGTGTCAACCTGTACATAGTTATACATGTGCTTGTCTATCGCTCTGGGGATTTTGTTATTTCCTTTTTATAAATACCACGCCAAACCCACCCTCACCCCCGACTTTCATCCATCCCAATTGTTCAGATCTACGGCTCACTAGAAATAAGACACTATCAGCCACTGCAACTTTCACAGTTACTCCTGAGGAGAAGCGTAACGATGCAATAATAATCAGTTAGTGCCCGCGAAAAAGTAAGACAGGTAGACAAACACAGCAAAAAAAAAAAACAGGAGTAGGAGTAAGCCCTACCAATTTTACCTCCGACTGTGCGACTCTCCCAAAAGAAACTACCTGGCAGACCAGTCTAGATATACAGTGTTCCCATAGCGGATGGGGTGGAATCGGGTCGGAGGCGATCGCCCCACTCCTCGCCTGGAAACAAACACGTTTGTTTTTGAGGCGACGAGTAGGGAGCAATCGGCTAGTGCTACGATAGCCGCTTTGCGCCCTCAATCTGGCGAGCAAACTGCCTTGACCCGACCTGATCCCTCAATGGGCACCTTGAGTAAAATAAGTGTATATACCACTTAAGCAATACCTAGTGACATCCACACAGTGAGCGGCCGTGAGGACCTTGTTCTTCGCGACGAGAGTGCCGCCACAAGTATAATAGAAGAAGCCGTTTCTCTGAAACTGCAAAGGAGACATTCTGGTGTGAGATACATCTAACACGTCTTGAACACCATGAGGTAACAATGTCTTTTTGTCAAAGCACATTATATGAAGTATGGTGCTTACCCAGGCTTCAGATATGCTTCCTAAACAACCCAGGTTCATTGACACCCCCCCCCCCCCCCCCGCCATTGTGGATTGGAACAAGCATTATCCAAATAATAACCTAACATGATGTCAACTTATATAACAACACACCCAAACTTGACTCTGGGCCGCTGTCTAGAAACGAATTAAAAGATGAAGCAAAATAAGGATGGAACACTTTTATACATATCTAAATTGGCATCATTTCAATTGTTTCCACGATGATGATGAAGATGAATTCTTTAATGTCCGACGACACCCCCCCCCCCCCACACACACACCCTTTGCGTCTCCTAGTAATGATGATAATGATGATGATGATTTTGTGAAACATCAGCTTAAACTTATCAGTTCTTAATACAACATCAACAATTAATTTCACTCTTTGAGGTTTTGCGCCAGCCACCGCCCCCCCCCCTTTTTTTAAATCCCTTTATAGTAAATGAACTTGAACGAGCCCCAAAAACTAAAGAATTCTCCTAAGCTCGTAATAGACAAAAGCGTATGCTTAGACTTAGGCCATGTTAGAATTATGTTAACATAATCGATGTTTTAAACTGCTCCCAATTTTCTGCTTCAGTCACGTACGATCACAGCCACATGGTACGGGAATTCTCCCTCCTGGGCTTGGGATCCGCCCACAATCCGTTTGTCCAGTGAATATCCACTAGGTTCATTTTCCTCTTTCACGACAACATCAAAAGTGGTAGTATTCTTGGCTCCTGGTCGAACGGATAAAAATTAACATCACACACTGACATATTCAGAGAGATTGGCTTTATTTGTTGCATGCGCAAAATATGTATAACTCTATGTGTAATCATACTGATAGGTGCTGAGACAGACAGGAAAGAAGGCATCCAACATAATCAAGTAAGATACGACAGTGCGCTTGTGCCACTGGGATCCTAGCAGTAAGTGTACTCTGGTGGACAGACTACATGCAGATATTTAGCCAGTGCGGATGGTGCACAGAAGGGTAAGGTACCGCAAGCTGAGGAGTTTTTTTGCGTCAATAAAGTTATTAGTAATTTTGATAGTTGCTTATTGTGTGGCAGATGAATTAATACCTGTTTGAAACACACTGAGAACAGGGCCAAGAAAACTATGGCAACCTTGAGCACGAGGATCTAAAGCAGACTGCACAGTTTGTACCCATCGCAGGACTGACTGACTGTCTGACTGCCATCCAGAACAGAGAAGAAGAAAATTGGAGAACAATTGGACAAAATAAAAAGCAACAGTACCCACGAAAAGGGACACGAAGACCTAGGAAAAGTATTTTGGTCAAGAACTGTTGGTAAAAAAAATGAAATTGAGGAAGACAACTAGCAGAGGCAGCTGCAGCAGTAGATCTAGTAGGGGTAAACGTAGTAGCAGCACTAGTGGTATATCTTGTATTAATAACCTGAGGTAGAAGATGTCAGTGATATGGACAGACGAGGGCCTAGAGAGCGCTCTCTCTCTCTCTCTCTCTCTCTCTCTCTCTTCCTCTCTCTCCCTCTCTCTCTCTCTCTCTCTCTCTCTCTCTTCCTCTCTCTCCCTCTCCCTCTCCCTCTCCCTCTCTCTCTCCCTCTCTCTCCTGGCAAGCCAGGATATAGACTACGCATCACGTATCGTCCAGACGACAGTGTTGCCCCCACCCCCCGATCGACCGTGCCTTACCAGATCTGTGTCGATGGAGAAGTAAGATATTACTATCATTTGAGAACAATTCAGAATTTTAAAAAGGAGAGAAAGATACCCCTCGTCAAGACTGAAAAAGTATCAATTGAGTAAAATTTAGAATAACAACAGACTGAGGAAGACAACACATCTCCTTTGAAAGCCTCGAAACTTTGATCACAATCGAGTCATCGATATAGCTGTAATCATTTTTATGAATGATTATGAACATCTCAAAAACTTTTGAAAACATCGGATCTAAATATCAATGTATCTTGTTAATTATTCAAAATTCAATTTGTGAATGTTAGAGGCACGAACTGACATGTGTCAAGAAAGATCACGTGACTGGTTAACCCCGACCGGTGGGAGAATAAAAGGACGCGGGCGGCGACTGAGACTCCAGTTCACACCAACAGTCACACACGAGTCGACTTCGATGCAGAGTAAGTCTTCAGTCAAGGAAGTGAGGAGATAACGAAGGTGGGTCCGGGGCACTTTCCAGTGTGTCGGACCCGCACTTCGTCTACTAGTAGTTTCCTCTCTCGACGGAAGGAGGAAAACGTCTGTACAGCTTCAGGGAGGCTGGCAGACGAGCATACGAAGGAGAAAACAACAGGATGTTGTTGTTATCCCACCCTCCGTGGTGGGGAATCCCCCTATCCCACCAACAAACCCCCGGCTCGGTTCCGGTCTACCGTTTATCTTTGGCGTCCGTTGTTAAGTGACGTTAGAACTCACTGTTTTGATTGGACCAGCCAGGGTCCATGGGCGTGCCCCCCCCCCCCCCTGTGTCTGTCAAGCGGCCGCGCTATCACACTATAGCAGTGCGCTTTGTTGTGGACAGAGGGTGGACATCCCGGGACTCATCCCCAGTGGGACTGACCGGAAACTGTGACTGGCCTGTGAGACCCACACAGCTCTGGTAAGGTCGTTCTGGGGGAAACACTTTCGTCTGGACCATTACATGTCATGTGCTCGGTATCCCGATGCGCCACGAGTGGAGAGAGCAAGAACTGTTTGATGTCATCATATACTCGTCATCATTTCCTTTCTTAGACCGTGTTTGTCCGTGCGCAGAACAAATAACAATAAATTATGTATTTGAAATATGTCATTAAAAATTATTTTTTTTGAGAATTAGACATTTACGAGTAGATCTATTAAGGAAAAAAAATCACTGCACACATGATAATGATTATTGCTTAAGTTTTGAGGTTTTCTATGAGGAACCGGTCAGTCTGCTTTTTTGTTTGTTTTGTTTTAATTGATAGCAGTTGTCAATCTTCACGAGGTACATTGTACCCCTTCTGTCCTTGTGGTATTTTCCTCTTTTTATGTCTGTTCTTAAGTGATAGTAATGTTCCGAGATTATACTTTTACAGTACAACTCTGGCACGGAGCAGTTGTTGAGGGGGCAGGGGGGGGGGGGCAGACCCACTTTCGTCTGAATGATACGTCTTGATCTTGATCTACAGGTTTATCTGGTCTGTCTCAATGGAGACTGGTTTGTTGTAGCCGATATTGTGCTGGAAAGGGGAAGGGAGAGGTTATTTGGTATAAACATAGCGTACATTCTACTATGCTCAGTTTGAAAGCCTTTTCATTGTCCTCGCAAGTTTGATTTAAATCCTTTCTGAAAATATTACAAAATTGTTAAAGATCTAGCCAGAGGTCTCTCGTAGTCTAGACAAGAGGTACGGTTCACCTCCAGCTCATTTATTATGTCCCGGATTCGAAACCTGACGGCGTCGAAAAGTTTCATTCTGTGGAATTCTCTACTTTCACCCCCTTTCCAAGTCATGTTCTACCATCTGCTTTCGCCTCCACTCTCTGCCCCCCCCCTTCTCCCCTCCCATTGGCTCCCGACTCTTTCTACCGCTGTTCCTGGCTCCTTCTTACTGCTGTCTTTCAGCGCAAAAATCTCGGAGGTCACGTGTGCAAGTTACGCACGTTAAAGATTTCTTGGTGATCTAAAATCCTTAAGAGTCGGCTCCGGCCCCCACACAGGCAAAATTCAAAATGAATTCCTACAAAACTGAAAATACTTAATGTGTCCAGCGTGCTCAAATAACTTTATGCAGTTGCGAGTGCCAAAAAACATTAAGCCTACCGAAACAAAAAATAAATCCTGAAAGATCTAGCCATCGGCAGGGCCATGGTATGTCTCTCAGCCATGGCTGGTCCCGACGGGCAGGGTCGAAGCAGCCTAACAAATCTAAATACCTAAATGAGGGTATACAATCTTTACAATTTCACATTAAAAATAGATCTAAATCCTAATAAGCACGCAGTAGAAATTAATACTTTTTTAGTTATCTTGTTTCCTAATCTCTCCCTTGCTCTCCCTGCAAAAGGTACGTTTTGGCATTAGCATAATATTAATAAAACAAGCGCACCACCATCACTTACAGGGGGTAAATTCTAGATCGACATAACACACGGACTACCACATGTCTATGACATTACAATATATTATACTGCTCGTACCTAGAATTGGAGGAGCCGAAGTCTCATTGAACAAATAAATCTCGACCTTCTCTGGTCCGTACTTGTCTTCACTCAGGAAGGCCATTTTGTTGTGAGTAGCCTCCATGGAAACAGGTTTACCGCTAAAGATTTTCTCATATTCAAGGTCGTCTTCTGGGGACCAAAAATGTGGGATTGAGCTACTGAGGAAAGATTAGGCTCATGGATGGGCGGGCATACCAAGCTAAAAATTAATAACATGTATGGCAGGTAGACATTAGATTTGTATGTCCAGGAATATATATATATATATACACATATATTATGAAAGATTATATATATATATATATATATATATATATATATATATATATATATATAAAGAAAGAGAGAGAGAGAGAGAGAGAGAGAGAGAGAGAGAGAGAGGGAGAGAGAGAGAGAGAAAGAGAGAGAGAAGGGGCAGAGAGAGTGAGTGAGTGAGAGAGAGAAAGAGAGAGTGAGAGAGAGAGAGAGAGAGAGAGAGAGAGAGAGAGAGAGAGAGAGAGAGAGAGAGAGAGGGAGGGGATATACGCATTGATATTTATTTATTGGAATTATATTATATAATGTAACATAAATGTATGTATATAATATATATATTATAATATATGTTGCTTATATTATATAATACTTTAAAAAATTATATATATATATATATACATATATGGTAGGTAAAATCGAACACCTAGCCTTCTCCGATAAGGGCGAACAATCTCGGAGTTTCCGTGTGCAAGTTGCGTACGTTAAAGATCCCTTGATGGTCCAAAATCGATTAAAGTGGGCTTCGGCCACCCTGGCAAGATTCAAAATTTCCTACCAAACAGAAATTGTTTAAAATGTCCCACGCGCTCATATGCAGTTGCGAGCACCGTAAATCACTTACCAAAAAAATTAAAAGATACTGCTTCTTGCAAAAGATTTTAGTGTTTTGAGAGAAAGGGAAAAAAAGACACACTTATATCCCATAGTAGAATTTCGCCCTGTAAAGTTCAGGGTAAGTTTCACAGACATGTAAAGATACATAGTATTTTGTTTCGTGTAGAAGCGAGGTCACAGCCCAGGCCAATGGAGTGTTGGGGGGGGGGGGGGGGTTAAATGGCTTATTACGTCAGGATGCCACCACAAAGGCATGCGTAACATAGTTTGGATGAAACATTACAGTCGAAATGGGAGGGAAAAATATTTTTTCGTAGTACAGTAGTACAGTTTTTATACCTTGAGAGACGCAGCAGTGAAAGAGGTCATCACAGGTCGAACAGTATGATAATATAATTAAAGCTGGGGAGGATAAGCTTTGCAGGCACCACATTCTAATTAATAATATACCATAATATAGTATAGCATAATATTACACTGTGACTGTTACGTACTTGCATTATTCAGGGAAAGGCGTATCAGGAGGCACAAGGTTTGTTTCGTTTGTGGCACAGTAATCTTTGTAGAAGTCAAAAGCTTGTCTTTGATTTTCTGTGAATGTTGGACGACAGAGGCATACTTTTTGTAAAGACGAATCTGTGTAGAGTGCGGAGAAGGGGAGGGGAAAGGGGTGGGGGTGCTTCTTTAGTCAAAGCATTTCACTGTATTACTAAGTGTCTCAGTGTTCTGATATTTGTATACAATGGCTACTTACCCGGTAGCTCGCTTTCAGAGGGTTGACCAAATGCTCTTCCATGGGCTCCAATGAACAAGGAGCAAGCTGAAAAAATTCACAGTGATATGAAGTTTTTAATACACATTTTTGAAAATAGTTCTGAGCATCTGTCAAAGAATGGCTGATCATGAGTTAGGAGCTTCTACTGTCTAAGTGAGACATCTCATTATGGTCTTAAGTAGACACAGTCAGTTCTGTAGAAGTTCAATTTCCAAATTTAGTTGTTCGCTGGCAGTGATATAATAGTTTGCCATCTTAATATTTCAAGGTGTAAAAATTTCACAAAATTGTTGTTGTTTTTTTAGTAATACACCAGAAGTCTTAACTTAGTTTTAGTAAGAGTTTTGAGGCCCTTGCAACACAATTAGGCCCTAAGATCAGAAATGTGTAACTAGAAAGTAACATATAAAGAAAAAAAGATGATAGCTGTTTGGTACGGGGAAAAGCCCACCGACATCAGAAGTCTGAGTGAATTGAAGGTAACAAATTTTTCATTAGAAAGTTCTAGCATGTAAATGTTACCAAATTGTAACTGACTGAACTTTCCTCAAAATTTAAAATAGCAGGTGAAAAACAAAATTTCATGCTCTTAAAAAGCTGATTTGTTGGTCACTTTACTTTGATAGTCTGCCATATTTTGAAATATTATACTCTTGAAACAAAAGTTTAATATTATTCATTTGTCTTATACGTTGGAACATTGATGGAAAACCGCCCCATAAGAACTGAGATTCAATCACAGGGGAAGAGGGTGGTCCTTTCAAGACTGAAGAAGTACTCATAAACATTTGCCAAAGCCTCCATGAGGACGAAAGAAATGCTACTGCCTATGTGCAATTATGACATTTTGAAACTTTTGTGAAATTGTTTAGCTATTATTTTCAAAGTAGTTATTTGCCTTCTAGTAACTTTTACGTAATAGCAAGATTAGTCAGCTGTCACATCTTTGAAGCACTTTACATGTTATTACTTCTAAGATAGTGTACCCTTTAAAGTTACACATCGCATAAACCAAGAAGGGACAGATGCCTCTAAACAAGTCTATGTCCGATACGAGAGTGTTATAACTTTTCCAAAGAAACGATCACGTGATTATTTGAATATTGCACATAATCGGTCATTGACCCATCACAGACCATCAGAGGAAGTGCAGCATTTTTGTATGTCAGCCCATTGCTTATTACTTGCATGTACACAATAATTCAACTATTTTAGAAAAGAAAATACGCTCTCTGTTTGCAACTTACCAAAAATGAAACAGCAATCTAAAGTGAACCGTCTAGCCATGCTTGACGACGAAATCTATTTTTTTGTTGGTGAGTTCTAGAACCTAACGTTTTGGGAGACCACGGTTTTTATTTTTCGGTTGTTATTGCTATTATTTTTTCTAACAGACACCTCAATAACGCCTAGGAGTTGTTGAGTGCGAATATTCTGCAGTGAGACGATGGCCTATATATTGAAAGACATACACTCGGACATTTATCATCTGTATTTTGCTTGTCAGCGTTAGACCAGCAGAGAGCTATGAAAAATGAATTTGCAAAGGATACCAATCACATCAATTTGACATTATCAGTTGTTTTATTTTCCCATGACAATATTCGTCCGAGGAACAATTAATCAAATAGTCGAAATATTAGTAATACGCAGTCATGTGGATGTTATGTTCACACTGGCTTCTATCTGCTTGCAACAGTTTACTTGCAGTGCGCATTAAAAAAAACACACCCAAAGACACTGTTGCTACAGAACGGGTTTTGCGTAACTTTGGGCAATTCACAATGTGGTGCTAAAAACTCAAAAGAAAACAAAACAAAAAACTCTTTTATAGTGCTCTTTCAACACGTCGTGTATTTGCTGAAAATGCACTTCTTATCTTCATGTGGCGCATTTTTGGCGACTATTCTTAGGGCAAATTTAGCATTTTATCTATTTATTTTTTTAAATTAGATAATTAAATATAATTTGGATTCCTGAAAAAGATTAAATGGGGTGTCAATAGTACACCTCTATGGGAAACCAAAAAATTCAAATGGCAGAAGAATGCTAATATTATGCTCTTTTTTTCTCTACGTACCAGCTGATGATATATTACTTGGTACTGGGTGACATTTCAGTATGTCGTATCTCTTCTGAATCTAAGTTATATGTTCGTAAACATCTTCAGATGCCATGAATGATAAATAATTTATAATATGACATGTGGGTGGAATTGATAACCGTCAATTTGTTTTAACCAGAACACATTGCTGGCCAGTTGCTCGTTTCACTCAAGACTCTCTGTCCCGTTTCCTTTATCTCCTATTCGATTTTTTCTCGTGTCTTTGTTATGCTATTATTGTATCCTTTATTCCAGTTAGTTCTTTCTTACCCACTCCACCCCTCAAGGAAAACACACAAGAGACCAGTTCGTTCGTAATGTCTTACATGTCAGTATTTTTAAAAATTCAGTTCTTTCTTTTTTCTTATCAAAGGACAACTATTAAAATTTAAAACATGTATGTTGTCCAGATTGTTGGTTTTTGTTTTTGTTTTTACAGATCTCTTAGGGTATATTAGTATAAGTTAAAAATCAGCCAAACATTCGTTCAGGTGAAAGGACGCAAAGGTTGGACAATGTTATCCATATTACACAATAATTTAATCAAAACCAATAGCACTGGTATTTAAACTATAATTTGGGGCTAACTTTAATTTTTTTTTTTGGGAGCAAAGTTTACGAGAAAGCATTGACAGTCATATTGAGTCAAGATCATGACTGGCCTTATTCACTTGTTTCATGATCCGGTGCATAATCAGGATACATCATGCGACATGTTAGACTTATGAAACTTTGGAACCCGTAAAGTATTAACAACAAATGAGGATATTTGTACTTTGCATCTTTATTCACTCATGACCAGCTGTTTTGCAATACTTGGGCGTACCCCTTTCTAATTTAGAGAAGCGTGTAACACGGTTCCAAACACTCGATGTCTGAATGCTCGTAATAAAGTTGTCTAAAACCTCTTTTTGGAGGACAATATCTGTAAATAGTCCAGATGTCGCTTCAAGAGGAGCCCAACCCCATTTAAAAATCAAGAAGACCAACGTAATAATTCCTTTTATTTATGTACGGTTAACATCATTTCAATCCTCTTGGATTGCTCCTTACTTTACTTACGTTTAGATAATTCAGATGTTTAGGTATTTCTTTATAGTAAAGTAACAAACATGGACATATCTGGTCAAATGAAGAGTTAAGACATTTACTCGAAAGTACTCCCTGTGCCTTCTCCACTTCTTTCTTTTTCTTTAATTAACCTTACATGGTGCCTATGTTGGATGTGTCCGCCCAGTCCTGGAATATGGTTTCGCTGCATAGGGAGCAGCATAGGACAGCAACTTCTACAAAGTAGCGAGAATCCAGAATAAAAAACTACGGATCATCACAGGAGCAATGAGATCTACGACCATTCATGTCATGGAGACACTAACTGGACTAGAATCCCTGAACGACAGACGAGATCTGAAAGCGATGGTTCATCAGTAAAAAGTCAAAAGAAAGCCAACTCACCCAATGGAGGATAGATCTCCAAAAAAGCCTGAGCAAACGTTTATAAAGAACAAGCTTCCTCCATATGGCCAGACACTCTAGCTCTGGACTCGAAATCTCATGTCAAGTCACCCTCTTCCGACTAGTCACCACCCCCCCTTAAATTCGAGAGAACCTAGAGGAGCTTGGCACAAAATCTGAAGTCTGTCCTCCGATTCTCGTCACTGACATTCGACTACCTGGACAGAAACTTCCCAAGCAACCGGTGGAATTCAGTTTACACAGACGGATCAGCAACTGATGCAGTCAGAAACGGCGGTGGAGGTATCTACATAGAGTGGATACATGGGTCAACAGAGAGCCCACAGGATTTCTATCTTCCAACTATAAAGCAGAAATATCAGCACTCGAAACAGCGGCCATAATTGTCTTGAATCACCTAAAATCTAAAGCCAACACCGTCATCCTGATAGAGGCCAAATTTGTCCTACAAGCCCTCCAAAAGCCACAATCTGCTCAAGTACGACAATTCCTTTCACTCCTATGTGATCTGAACTCCCTACCCAACACAACTCTGCAGTGGATGCCAGGTAAAAAACAATAATAAAATCTGCAATAATGAACATATGGAAAAGATCCCACCATAATCAGAACAGAGATGACCCCTACTACATGCTAGATAGAGCAGATCAGGTCCCAATCTTTCGACTCCGTTCTGGCCACAACAGACTCAAACACTATATGTACACTAAATTAAAAGTGAGAGATTCCGCGATCTGTGAATATGGACACGACCAAGAGGATGCCAACCACATCCGTCAGCACTGCCTGCGCTAAGCCACCCTTCGTAACTCAGACGTGGCAGAATGTGACACCTCTTGAGAGAAAGCTCTATAGCAGTCTCTCAGATTTGAAGCGGACTGCACAGTTAGTGCGCAACATCGGACTCACTGTCTAGCTGCTGTCATCGAGAACAAGGAAAAAGAAGAAGAAAGAGAAGAAGAAGAAGAAGGAGAAGAAGAAGAAGAAGAAGAAGAAGAAGAAGAAGAAGAAGAAGAAGAAGAAGAATTAATTCTAAATAACGGGTCAAGTGCTTGACCCCCGAAATGACTAATGTTTTGGTTAGCACAAGGTAAGACTCTTACAAAATCCTTTGACACTGGTTCCAGTTGGAGAGTAATGGGGAATGAGCAGTCAAGCTGTGTCCAAAACCCCGAAAAGGCCAGTCTTTGTATAATATAGACTGCTGGGAAGCATTGTGATTGAAATCCTTCCTGAAAACAACGGTGTCTCGATAGTCTTTCCCCTTCTTCCCGCTCCCCCCCCCCTCCTCTCTCTTTTCTCCCCCCCCCCTCTCTCTCTATCTCTCTCTCTCTCTCTCTCTCTCTCTCTCTCTCTCTCTCTCTCTCTCGTGGGTGGTTGGAGGGTGCTCTGGTGGTTTGCTCCTTCTTTCCTATCAAACATCCATCGTCCCGATCTCTCCTTCTTTTTTTCATGTTTGTTACTCTCTTGTAACACATCTAATCTTTGGCACTTATATGACCTTATTTGTTGCAAGTGCCGTGAAACTCTTACTTAAACTAAAATTCTCTCTCTCTGTCTCTCTGTCTCTCTCTCTCTCTCTCTCTCTCTCTCTCTCTCTCTCTCTGTCTCTGTCTCTCTCTTTCTCTCTCTTTCTCTCTCTCTCTCTCTCTCTCTCTCTCTCTCTCTCTCTCTCTCTCTCTCTCTCTGGGCATTGTGAACTTTGGGTGTTTTGGGGCGTTCTAAAGGCTCGCCATCTATTAGGCTCGGTCGAACTGGATATTAACTTAAACTTAATTCGGATGTACTACTTTATAATAACCTCATAGTGTTAATAGGGGCAATAAACCTATCCCTCTCTCATCTTGCTGCTGCCCTCTTTTTTTTTACTTTGTTTCTCTCTCTCTCTCTCTCTCTCTCTCTCTCTCTCTCTCTCTCTCTCTCTCTCTCTCTCTCTTTCTCTTTCTCTCTCTCCCCCCCACCCGGTTCTTATATCAGCGTATATAACACATATCTTTAACTAGCTTGGCCCCCTTTCGGAAAAAGGAATGATTGATGCATTAACATCAACTGAAAGTCATTGGCCTACTATATTTAAACTTAGTAGAGGTTTTTACGGCGCTCGCTACAGCATAAGGTCATATGAGCGCCAGAAGATTAGAGGTGTTACAAGAGAGTAACAAACATAAAAAAGAAGAAAGGGAGAGATAAGGACGATAGATGTTTGATAGGAAAGAAGAAGCAAACTACACCAGAGCACCCATCAACCACATTATTTCCACTCTACTGAAATGGAGCAATAAATCCTGAGAGAAGCAAAAAATTAAAAGGTTTAGATATAGTGATGTATAGATTGATTCTCTATTCCGCTTTCGTGGTTGTACACTCCAGAATTTCCAAGGTGTGGAAACAGTGCGTATGGAAACCTCACTTGTTTACAATGGCGTCTTAGAAGACGGACTTTCCTAAGATTAGATCTAAGAGAAACTAATGAAAAACTGAAAATTAAAGTATAGTGACTTCAGGCTCCTCAATAGAATAGTGCATCCTTTTAAATGATTCTGAACCATCATTAATTTTGTCAGATTCGAAAGTTAAGTGGTTCCAAAGTTTTTGGCGGCCAAAGTGACGTACTTTCACAAATATAATATGTATAGATACCGGAAACTATGACAACGAAATCAGTATTACTTCCCCGCAGACATAGTACAGTAAGTCAGGGTGCGTTTCGTCATTTTTGTGACTTGTTCAGGACGGGCTTTGTTTTTCTTTATACAATAAGAGAATGAATGTTGACGCTTAATAGAACAGATATTTTGAAAAACACGGACCCATATATGTGTTTAAAAGAAAATCTTAATTAATAAACGTTCAAATTGGATTACATTTCTATACTAGATGAAAAATTGAAGTCAAACAAGACAGCATTGTATACAGTTCTTTATTTATTAACTATTATAGGACAACATTGTGTAACCACGCCAGAATGCATCAGAATTTCTAACATAGTCCAGTCGTGACCGTGACTGAGATTGACATCTCTAGAACAGCCAGCTGTTCCTGATGCAACTACAAAAAGAAACACGTGTCTTACAACCGAGAAAGTTGTTAGAAAAATGCTACAGTAATGGCAACATGACACCATTTTGGTTTCGTCATTGAAACATAGCGTTACTATTATATTTCCACCAGCAAAAGTCAGGTGATTAGCTAAAGGGTGCTCATTAAAACGCAAACACAAAAGACGCAGAATATTATTATGAATAGATACTTAAAGTGCAATTTCCAGAAGCAGAGATAAGAACTTCAGCTTTTGTAAAACCCATGAAAGCAAAATCACAGGATTCGAGAAGAAATGTCCCCGCAAAACCCTTAAGGGGT